AAACAGGACGAGTTCCAGCCACACCGGTTTTTGATTGAGTGCACGTTTCTGCTCTCTGAATGCCTAGAAGTGCGACCCCAGCTATTACGTCGGTTAATTAATTCAAAGAAAGTTAATATAACTCCAGCTATTTCGCGTAAAATATTTACGCTGATGTAATTTTCATTGCATCACTTTAACTCATAAATAACCTATTGTTTACATATTACTTGATAGGCTGATGGCCAAACATTCGGGACGCGGACCTCGTGAAGTCAACAAAGTGTGGATTTGCACATGTCTCCAGCATCTGTATATGCAAATGCAAAAAAAAAAAGAAAAAAAGAAAAAACACGCTTCGAATTGATAGCAATAATTCGTTATTCAGCATGTATGAGAACTATTCCATATACGCGAAATATGGGTTAACATTACTGCGTAGCGAATCACAAATGAGTTAGCACATTACTTAACAAGATTTTGGTGCTTCTAAATCACAAACTGCAACTCAGAAAAAGAGGTAGCTCGGACACAAAATCGTCTTTATGTCGCGACATTCTCAGTCAAGTTAGCCTCAAACACCGACCTTTAGCATACATCTTAGTGTCTCACATCAACACATTTCAATATACTGATGGTTTTGATGGCAGCAATTCAGCGGCGTGAAAAAAAACATGGTGATTGCGTGTCTGTGCTTTGAAGAGTCATTGAGGGCTTACACAACGTTTGCACGGTTAAGTTTATAGCACACACATATGGCACACACAATCCGCTCAAGAAATAGTTTTTTTGCCGTAACGTGCGGAGTTGAGACTCCACAAAGCCTCGCAAGCGCTACTGAGACGTGTGAAGCCGACAAGCCTCTGCTTTAAAGGGACACTGACAGGGTATTTATGCTCGCCGAGGTTTTTAGTTGTACGTGACATATGAGAGCTCAACTACCCAGAACAGAATTTGCGGCTCGAAATTCGGTTTCTTTCCGCCCGAAAACCGCCGATCAAGAATTGGCCGGTTCGAGTCTCGCTCACTCTCTTTTTTTGCGGTCACGGGCCGTTTTCTAAGGTATCGATGCGACCACCAAATTTAATCAAAGTCGTGGGTCACTGAAGGCACACACTCAATATTAAAAATAGAAAAAAAATATGAAACCCATTTTTTGTGGCTTCTAAAAAGCTGTAATTACGTTGATTGAAAAAAAAAGTTCCACAGACAACCGGAAGCATTCTGTGCGTTCGTCGTTTCGCGTATCGTGGGACTCGCGGGGACGGCGATGGCAGCGGACGACGGGCGTGGGACCTCTATTTCAGAACTGTCGTTCGCGGTACCGGCGAATTCTGTCTACCGTTAAAAGAGAAATTTGGGACTGATCAAAAGAATTGGTATTCATCCCGTACGACACGCCCGGCCACCAAGCCGATTTGCACGAAGACGTCGCCGAGCCGTCGCTCCCTTCTCGTGGCTGAAGACAACGCTCGCGCAAACGTCAAGCACGACGTGTCTACTTCGAGTTGAATATGCACGCGTACGATTTCTTTACTAGGTGCGAATGTCCCCAAAGCGTGGTGCTGCCCGACTTCGACCCGGGAGTGCTTTTGCTAGAGAAAAATCGACAGCAAACTTTCCAACTTACTGTTTACCGGCTGAATTATTACTAAGGAAAGAGATCCACCAGAAACGAGATGACCCAGTAGCTCAGTGGGAAAGACGTCCGGTTCACACGCGGTAGGACCGGGTTCGATCCCCCGTGAATTTTTTTTTTTTTTTCAAGCATTTTTCGATGTTTACATATCTTTTTCTTTTTTACAATCATCACTGAAGAAACGAACAACAAAAAACAAACAACAAATGTTGTGGACGATACTTCGCTGAATTAAACGGTATGGGATTTCCGTTTTGACACCTGCGAACTCAATGTAATCACTTACCACAAAATGCAAGGAGCATATAAATCAGGTAGCGTCCGCTTTCCCAGGTGCCCGTAAATGTTCTACAGGAATTGTAGAACATTTTCCACTTTTTTTCGGATGCAGGACATGTGAGCCAGCTCTTCACGCAACATCTTGGGTTTATTCTTTTCGGACCCGATCATGGAAATTCACCACGGGCACTCACTACTCATTTCGAACTCCTTAATGTACAATACAACTCATCTTGGAGTACAGAACAACAATCGGAACAAACATAACTGCAAAAGAATCGCACGGCAAGCAGTTCCCGCACGCCGCATCGCACGCCGCATGTCGCGTCGTCTGCTACCGGAGAGGAGAAAAACAAAAAACAAAAAAAAAAAAACCGCACGGTCGGGTGTAGCCACGTGACTTCCTCCAGTCACTCTCTTCTCTCCACTTCTCCGACCTCCGTCGGGTTTCGGTTTCGGTTTCGAGCAGTTGCGTCTTTTGGCTTTATTAAAGAAATACGCTACTCTGTTGCAAAATATTAATTGGGTAGTCCTCCGACACCATAATGAAGCGCCTGGCAAAAAATAAAAATTTTTTTTTGGGGGGTGTCAGTGTCCCTTTAAGCTGAGGGGAAGCGAAATAAGACGAAACCTCCACAATAAGTTGAACCAGCAGAAGCTTTATTTACAACAACTAAAGACCAAGGTTTGTTCAATACCTGCGTCACTTCTCAGTGATCGTCCCACGCCCAAATGGAAAGCGTGGTAAGGACCCCTATATATATATATATATATATATATATATATATATATATATATATATATATATATATATATATATATATATGCTTCCTGACGAAGGCCGGACTCCGGCCGAAACGTCGAAGATTAAATCGTCCGTTGTTGCTGTTTTTCACTAAGGGTTTTTTTCTTCTCAGTTTTATACCCACGCCTTCGGCCTCCCGCCACCATGCCCGTTACATATATATATATATATATAGGGTGTTTTTTTAAGCTTAAGAGATTTGTTTAAAAAAAGCCGTGGAAGTTACACTTATGCCGCTTGTGGATGGGAGTTATACGGCCAGGGGTACATATTATAGTGGGCTAATCGTAACGATCAGTTGTCTAATTAATTAAAATTTGTTAATTAAATTCTTGATTAATGAAAATAGACATATGGTTCCAATTAGAAACTTGCTCAGCGTCATCGAAAACCACTAAATTAGTCATTTTCAGAAAGACGTTCGGCGCGTGAGAAGCGTAGGATTGTACTGAAGTAACCACTCGTGGAGCAGGTACAAGGCTGGGGCTAGATAAGAGACGGAAAAATCGAGCAGGCGCCTTTATCGCAACCGCTAGCATTTGTACCTGCTCCACGAGTGGTAACTTTGGTGCGCTACTACACTTCTCACGCGCTCAAAGTCTTTCTGAAAATGACTGATTTAGTGGTTTTCGATGACGCTGAGCAAGTTTCTAGTGGGAACAATATGTCTATTTTCATTAATTAAAAAGTTAATCAAAGAATTTTAATTAATTAGATGACGTACTGATTGTTACGATTAGCCCCTATAATATGTCTCCATGGCCGTATAGCTCACCCTCACAAGCGGCATAAGTGTAACTTTCACAACGTATTTTCAACAAATCTGTTAAGCTTAAAAAAAAACACCCTGTATATATATATATATAAGGGTTTTTTTCTTCTCAGTTTTATATATATATATATATATATATATATATATATTTGTTTTATACGCACGGAGAATTACATAAATTTAATTCCTAATATTTATTTTGATCTACGTTTCGTAAAACGCAGCCAAGTTTCTCACTCATGGACTATCTCCTGTTTCTGGCTGTTTTTGTGACCTACACATAATTGTAAGCAAGCGCACTTTACGCAAAAAAAAAAAGAAAGAAGTCCGATGAAGGTATTGTCTTGCGTTAAAAGCGATATCTTTTTTGTCGCAAAATAGACCGAATGCCGCGGTCAGGGCAGCCTATTGGTGCGACGCTGGCGGTGAAACCACGTAACATTTGAAGCATGATTTGTCTATGGTGTGCACCAATCACACTGTAGGTATGGCTTAGTCTCCAGACAATCTACCTCCTTTACATTATTGGTTTTTTATCTTATTTATATTCTCTAGTTGATGATGCCGCAGTCTCATTATTTTCGGAGTGACAATGAAATTTCCAACAATAATTTGTTGAACACTGTTATTTGACACCCACAACGCAGCTGTGTTCAACATGCTGCAGCAATATTTTAAAGATAAATAGAGGTCGTGAAACGTATTTATTCCACCCCAACAGCGTCGATTACTGTGAAGCAAGCTGGTGTAGGCATTTCAACGATCGGGAACAGAAGCGGAATTTGACATTGGGAGTTTACCGTTCGCAAGTCTCAAAGTCAGTGGAGAGGTGAAAAGTTAGGTGTGTTCGCTGCTCTACTGGGAACTCTTAGTTGTTATAAACAAGAACCATCCGTGCTTGCTTACCTTTTAGATATGTCACGTCTCTAACCTATGCCCTATTACTTATATATATTTTTTTTTAAATTATGGAGACAAGAAGACATGTGACGACTCTTTAGTGCCTTTTAGTCACAATAATCTCTCCAATGTATGTTAACGCAGATGCGCTTATTAGTAAGCGATAACTTGCTTTTAAGTAAGCAATCCCTCACTCGTATGTAAGCAGTCACGTGCTTATAAGTGAGCAATCACTTGCTTATAAGTGAGCAATCAATTATAAGTAAGCAATCACTTACTTATAAGTAAGCAGCCACTTGCTTACGAATTAGCGCCTTGTGGTGAGGGCAATTATCCTGTCGTGACAAAACAACGGCTCGAACATTCTGCTTTGCGTCAGGTTCGGTACAAGTTCTGTGTCCTCAGAAATCGCGATGTCCTCAAGGAGACTTCATAAGCACACGATTCGCTTCAGCTCGCCACGGACAGCACCCATGACTCATCATACTGCCTTACAATGAACTTCTCTTCACTCGAGCGCAGCCCCTCGCACGGAGGCCCGGTGAATTCGAAATCAACGTCAAACGGGAGGCTCCGTCTTCAGCAAACAGTTGGGGATTCTCTCAGAGCAAGTTGATGCAACCACGTCACGGCCAGCTGCCGCAGGAATTCCTAGGGCAGGGGTAACCGGCAGTGTACACGACGGATGTCAGGACAAGAAGGATAGTGGATAAAGTTCCGTAAGAACCGCGCATGCTGGCGGGTGTGGCGGCATCCGTGGCAGCAGATACGCAGGCTCCGTGGGCGTATGGTCCGCAGTGGTCCTCGATCAAAGGCCCCGAGATGCGTTCCATGTGCCTGGCAAAGAACTCGCTCGCCCGTTCTCCGCAGTCCCGACTCACGTGGAAGCTCTTGCACTCCACGAACTCACTGAAAGCGCTGTGCCAAGGAAGTATGGGAAACATGAAAAATGCTTTATCTTATAAGTATTAACACGTTGTTCGTATTTATTTAAATAGTATTCAATACGCCTCGCAAGTGGGCTCATTTTCGTCTTCTGCGCATGAGAAAGGAAGTAGCGCTGTCGTCAGAACGCCGAGCCCTGATTGGCTGATCGCGACCCCCTATCTCAGCGTTGTCTGCTCCTTTGCAACGTCGTCTGCTCGCAACGTCGTCTGCGCCTGTCTTACCTTTCCTGCGACTTTCGGAGCGAACTCGACTTCGCCTTTAAGAGAGGGCAGACGAAATAACTCGAGCAGTACGTTGTTTTTGTCTGAAACTAGCAGACGCGCATCAAGGAGGGAAGTCAAAGGACTCACTGGCGGGGTGTCCCTTTGCGCCGAGGTTTGTTTGCTTAGAACCGAGAGTGAGCGTGTTAGTGTCCGCAAGTTCCCTCCCAAATACTTTTTCCCCCCATTCGTGTGCGGCGAGACCCCTCACTCTTTAACGGCGTCGGCGGGTTGGCGCAGTTAACGTCGTCTGCTTTACGTCTGCTAGTCAAAGCGATGGCTGCTTTACCTTTCCTGCGTCTGTCGGAGATTCACCGCTTTTTCACCGGCGAGAGTCACCGTTGCCTCGGGAAACAAGGAGATAACAAGAGGAAGAAATTGACCTCTTAATCTAAAAGTGAGGTCAGCGATCAAAGTATAATACGGGAAGGGTTCACAAGGGTCGCGCGGGCATATTCCATTCAGCACGCCAGCCGGTCGTGGGCAGACGGTCGCCGAGTCGCGGAGCGCCTGTTAGGCCTAACTGCCCAGCTCGTTTGGTCGCGTTCGGTGGAATCGAGGCCGTTGGAGCTTTTCCCGGGTGTTTGTGGATCCAGCGTTCTTGTTCGTCGTGGTCTGTATCAAGTACTTTTTAATTTTTTCTTGCTGCTTGAAGTCGGGACGCGTCAGAAGCGCAGGTAGAAAAATAAACGTCCGTGGGTCGTCGCGACCGCGACGCTGTCGGCCATGCTGATTTGATCGTAAGAAATGCGTAAGACAGCTTCGGAGCTGCCGTAGGATTTCGTCGTAACCTGCGCAAAACTTACAAAATTTCGCTTCGTGAATACGAATTTGTTCTTAAGTTTTGTCTTACGCACATTTTTGGCGTAAGATCATTTCTTGAATCTGGCCTCTGCACTTTCGAAAGTCGCAGGAAAGGTAAGACAGACGCAGACGACGTTGCAAAGGAGCAGACGACGCACAGATAGGGGGTCGCGATCAGCCAATCAGGGCTCGGCGTTCTGACGTCACCACTACCCCCTGCGCCAGAAGCAGACGAACTTGCCTTCCGCATAGCGCAGAACCGACCAAGCACATATAGCGAGAGGTTAGGCGTATGTTTTTCCACGCAACCTCTAATTGAAGTGTACTATCTTGCGTCGGTTCTGTTTACCGTGTGCCCACGGCTTAAAGCCGCGATAACACCGCAAGTAGATTATGCAAAATACAGTCCGCAGGCAATGGCTGAGTCGTGTTTCCTTTTGTATAGGGTCACACTTCTCATACACCATACAAAAGACAGTCTGCAAATACGAGTCACCGCATTATTCGTATTTAGAATTCCGCGTGCCAAGTTTATCGATGAACTCATTGCCATGCGGCAGTCGAAGCATGGATCTTGCTCTGACTCGCGTTCGAATCTGTATGCACACTTTCTTTTGTACTTGCACTGCAACTTAGACTTTAGGCTGTTCACCGCTCAGCTTACAGGGCGGTAAAAGCTTCGTGCTTGGCGGACCAATCAATCGCCTGCCTTTTATCGCCCCACCGAGTTCCCTTCGTCAGAGTACGCGAAAAGAGCATGATAATGTGACGCAATACAGGCGGTTTACTGGCACAAAAGTCATTCCCTGCCAGCTTAGTGACGAAAGGAGTAGAGACATAAGCTCAAGCAAAAATGTGATGCATGTGTTATGCCACAACTTGCTGTCTCGAGGCTTCGTTGTGCAGACCACGCACCAAAAAGTTATTAAGCTATCGTTGAGCACGGCTTCTCACTGTGGACGATTCCATTTCAAATAGTGAAAACCAAAAGGTAATAAATAAAAAAAATTAACAAAATATCTGTATAATGGACAAAATTCTTGATTAGAAAAAAAAAATTAAACTCCAGTGGTTGTGGTCTCCTTTTTTAAAATGAGGCTTAGTCAAAACCGCAGTTATTGCTAAGGCTTAAACCGAGAACATTTTTTTTAATATTCAGCTAAAAGTGAGTAAAGTCGCAAAATGAGCAAGTGCGGCATGGTGGTGCTTACCAACAGGAGCGTCTGAGACCCCGGTCCACATCTTGTGTCTGGCTGACTGTCTTGGCGAGTTCCAGGGTCCTCCGGTAAGCAGGCGCGCACTTGGTCTCGTCCATAGTCACTTTCCGGTTGCATCTGGCGTGGCGGAGGAAGTCTGCAGAGACGGTAGATGTAGCCATTACGAAGTATTCAGTGCACTACTTACTCAAACTTAAAGTAAAGGGCTGAAAAAAAAGGCCAATATTTTAGAGTTTTCTTGTTGACGATACGAAGTCTTATTTACCACTGAGCTCTGAAAGAGCACGTGACTTTCTGTGATCGATAGTCTCTACCTGTGCAGCTAGTGAATGTCTCTCACATCCGCAAATCTGGAGACGATTCACATTTTCATTTCTGGATAGGAATTTTAAAACTGCTGTGTGCGCCATTGTAGTTTCGTTTCTTATCAGTACAAAGAGAAAGGGTACTCCGAATTCTGAGGTTACTTTACCCATTGCATCTTTATAGGTCATACGCAAAATTTCTGATAGGTATCTTCAACATGCCACTGGGAGCCGCCATAATGGAGGACGTTTGTCGTCTTCCATTGTGGATCAGGCGTGCCAATGTTGGGCGCACCTGCATTCAACTCAATCTACCTTTTATTAGGACAATGTGTTTTACATTCAAGTGCGTTCTGTTCAGTTTCGTCGCAAGAAAAAAAAAAAAGAAAGACGGCGGCAAGATTGTGAAAAAAAGAATGCCTGCAGCAACGAGGTCGCAAGTGTCGTCACCGAAGCAACAAAATTACCGTCCAAGCAAGTGAGTGGTCTTTATCAGATACGCTCTGCGGGAGGTTGGAACTAGACTGTCAATACGTGATCGTATTCTGGACCTACGACTCCCACTTTGCCACGACCAATGTTTTCTTGGTTAAAATATTGGTACGGGAGCCTTCAATATTGCAGAAACTGGATAAATGATCTTAAGTACATAATATGGTTCCTTTGCTTTTGAATATGGTCTAGGAGCTCAGCATTTTTAATACTTGTATTCGCAGTTGTGTGGCATGTTTTACGCGCGTACCATACCTTGCGTAACAATAAAACAAAAGTTATGGACGCCCACGAGCTCACGCAGTTTGAGCGCTGTTCACTGGTCCGCATGCACACTCCTCTCTTCGGATATGCCACAGAGATGTGTGCGTAGAACACACGACCAGAAAGTTTAAAAATAGTTAGAAACTCTTTGCAGAGTTCCTTCATTAGGAAAATTTTAATTAGATCATCAATGCGTGATTGAAAGCCTTCGCGAGCGACTTCATTGGCAGATGACGCTAGCGACACCAAACGCTCCTCAAGAAGCGATGACTCAATCCAACGCACCATCTTGGTTAATTCATAATGACGAATATGTAAATGAGTCATTCTTAAAAAAAAAAAAAAAAAAGTCAACAAGACAAAACTTTTAGTTAGAAGTTTCTTTGGCGCCAAAGTTCCTCGCGGACAACAAATGCGTCGAAATCTTAAGCCTCGCGAGCTGTCACCGACATGCCGCCGCGCCATGCATGCTGCGCGCTTCCCATCCCTCTATACAGGCTCTCACGCATCGGAGTGCCCTCGCTTAAACTGCGCTCAGAGACCGACACCCGAAACTCAAACCACGAAGTCTGGATTGACTGCGACGGGGAGAGAGCTCGATCTGCAGTGAAGCGCGCATGCTAATTGCCGGCCACTTCGGCGCCAAGACCACTCGCACCGTCCGGCTACTTGGCGGGGGGGGAGGGGGGGGGGGGTTGATTTGCAATCTGCCGGCGCCGCCGGACTTCCTGTCACGGCTCGTTTAGCGCTCGGGTGATTGAAGAGACAATTAAAACCACTCACTCCTTCCGCTATCCTCGGGTGAAAAGTAAACAATTAGACGTGCAGCGAGCGAATCTTGAGATTGGTCGGCTCCGATGGCCTCAGGAATTAGTTGCGTTGACCTAGATCGATATCTATATATATATATATATTTTTTTTTATAACTGAAGTTTAGTGGAGTTAACCAGTTAACCGGGTGTTTCAGCGAAGTCTCAAAAATCTCCATAAATGGAATGGTTGAGGTAAAAAGGAGCAGGGGACAAACTGCCAACCACGGCAAACATCAGGAATCGGAATAGCATACTAATAAGCTAGAGAATTAGCAAAATTTAGTAATACTTTTTTTAAATAAGCGAAGATGAACATATGGCTCCAGTTATAAACCTGCTGAGCATCATCGTAGACCACTCGATCAACTCATTTTTGAAGTGCGTAAGGCAGCTGTAGCATTTTATGATGATCCGAAAAAAAACTTTTTGGACGAATTACTAGATTCCGGTTTCCTATGGGTGCACATCTTTGCAGCGGTGGTCGCGCCCCCCGGAGGCCGAGACGCGCAACGGACGTGCGTCATACTTCCATCCAATGAAGGGCGGTAGCTTCGCGCCTCGGCCACCAGGGTGCAGGACCGCCGGCGTGAAACCTAGCAACGCGACCAAATTTTACCAGGTTGATTTTAACCGGAAACTCGAGCAGGAAGGGGAAAACATTTTCTTTACAGTGGAAAAATTTGGGGTTCTTGATAGAATGAGGATGGTTAAATAATATTACCAGCTGAGTTAGAGACTTCGCCTGTCCCTATTACTTTCTCTTCCACAGTAAAAAAATATTTTCCTCCTTCCCCAGTCGCGGGTTAAAATCTTGATGTGAAAGTTCGACCAGCTCGCCTGCGCACTGACGCTATTTGCGTTCAAATTGACCGTTTTTTTCTTCTTTTTTTTTCATCAACGTAAAATATTGCACCTGCCTTAGATCCCTCTCAAAAGAGAAGATTTTATGGGTTTCGATGATGCTCAGGGTGCTTCTAACTGAAACCACATGTTTATTGTCACTAATTAAAAAGATCATTAGTAAATGTCAGTTAACAATCTAGCTAATTAGTATGCTTTGCAATTCCTGACGGGTGCCGACCACCCTATTCTCAACGATTTTAGAAAGGCTTCATTAGACGCTTAGAGCAGCTTTGGATGGACGCCCACCTTGGTATCACATGACACTGTCGCCATTGCTAACCTACAGGGAAGGCACTCACTTGACCGAATGACGTTTTAGCGAACGCCCACGTTTCACCGAATGACACTTTAGCGAATAGTCGGACGCCGCGAAGCGGCGCTTTGGGGTGGGCCAAGTGGGTTCACATTTTTGTAATGAGCCGCCGCAGACTGTCGCCGCGACGCGGCGTAAGCGCAGCGCGCGAAGGGGGGGGGGGGGGGGGGGGGGTAACGCGCGCCCCCGTTATTCGCTGAAACGTCGATTCGCTCAAATGTGGCTGTTCACTAAAACGTCATTCGCTCATGTGATATGCACCCGACCTCCAGATTCTCGTCATTGGTGTGCGCTCTCTGCTGTACCTGCCACCACCGAAGCTTCGAAGCATAGTTTTCGTGTTTTTTTTTTTTTTCTTATCTACTTTAAAGTTACGTGGTTTTTATACAGGTATGTTTGTTTACAATTTTGGTAGCGTCTTGGGTTGCTCCAGACTCGAAGTTAAAAATTATCTGGAACGGTTGGTGAGAACACTTACGTTTTATTTAGTTAAGATATGGCCGAAGACGAGGAGCAGTCTTCGTAGTCTGGTGCCATTATGTTCTGAAGCCCCCCTGCGCAGTCTCTCTGGTGATCTTGCGCCGTATTCTCTTGCGCCGTATTCCCTCGTGCATAGGCTTACCTCGCGGTTGCTTGAACTCGTGAAATCGCGAGGCAATACGCACGACCAGACGAGAGAACAGTATCCGCGGTATTATACTTATACTTTTATACTTATACTTATACTTTTATACTTATACTTATACTTTTATACTTATACTTATACTTTTATACTTATACTTATACCTTTATACTTATACTTTTATACTTATACTTTTATACTTATACTTATACTTATACTTATATTTATACTTTTATACTTATACTTTTATACTTATACTTTTATACTTATACTTATATACTTATACTTATACTGTTATGGTATGTTATGTTATGGTATGGTTTGGTATGGTATGGTATGGTATGGTATTATATTTTATGGTATGGTATGCAATCTGGATATTGCGCGGAACACATGCAAGCGTGCGGCATGTTCCGCCGACGACGCGGCACCTGAGTCGGGTAACGTAACCCGAAGCTCTCAGGGGCAGTTCGAGTCGACAGGAGAAACGTTGTCTCGGAAACCGCTGTAGGTTAGTGTGTGCGTGACCACAAGCTTATAACAAATCTGTTTTACAAAAACAGTGAAAGCTACACTAATGCGGTTTGTGCAGGTGGGTCATATGACCAAGGGGACATACTATAGGAGGCCAATCGTCCCGATAAGACAAGTAATTGAATAATATTTGTTAATTAACTTTTAATGAGTGAGATTAGACATACGGTTCCAATTAGAAACTTGATGAGCGTCATAGGGAACCACTAAATCAGTATTTTGGAAACACTTTGAGAGCGTGGGAAGCCCTGTAGTGCGCCGAAGTTACCACTCCTGGAACCGTCACAAGCCTGGCGAGAGAAAACGCGGATGATAGAGACGGAAAAACAGCGTGGGGCGAATTATTGCACCGCGGTAACCTTGCTCGATGGAACTACACAAGCCTCTAATTATAACCATATGTTTATTTTCAATATTTAAAACGTAAATTAACATTTTTTTTAATTAGCCAAAATATCATTACACGTTCCATGACCGGGAAATCATCTTCATCTGGCCTCCAGTATCACAAATATCAAAATTATATTTCAGATTGATGCGCCAAGTAGTAACTACAGCACTTTCAAAATAGCGCTAAAGACCGCTTTTCAGGATCCGTTCGGTGGAAGGAGAGAATTGTGACGTAATATACAGCGATCTCAACATTTCCACACCTTCCGCATGTCTTACCTGAGCGGTTAAAAACGCTGCACGCCTTCCCGCATAAGCAGCAAGCGCAAGGCAGTTGAGATCTCTGGGTACGATGACTTACACCCGCAGATGGTTTTCCGGCTTTTCCCTCGTCCATTGATATTTTCCAGTCAAGGACATGTGACATCTAAATTCACGGGACAAAAATTAACTATAATTCGCCTCAAACTTTTTTTTAATTTTTTTCAGGAACCTTTTGAG